CCGTCTTCCCTAGTTTTGATGATGTTTTAGGTTTTGCCGTCTCCCCTGCTGACAGTTCAGGGCATGTCCTTTTGCTTGCTGCCTTCTGTTTCATCTTCATGAAGAGTCTTAAGGTTCCTGACGGTTTTGAATGTCGTTTAAACTTGATAGAGATGCTGAGACAGAAGCCAGCTTAGCCTCGGCTACCTGACACAAACAAGTGCTCTTTTCACGTCACTGGTTTCCTGGGCATCATTGCCTCCTCTCCTTCCCTGAAATGGGGCTTTTTCTTGAGGGTTTCACACCAGCCCAGGTGTGTTCCTGGAGCAGCCCCCACTTCTTTCTCACGACCCAGGAGAGCCAGGCCATCCCCCTCGTGTCTGTAGCCAGTGTGGCTGCTGGAAAGGCCAAGAGGCAGATGAGCTGTGGCCCCGAGGAGAGGCCCCTGCGGCCCCAGGAGTCCTGTGACCCAGGTACTGCCCCCCGGGGCCAACCTCCAGCCTGAGTCCCAGCCTCCTTCCTTCCCTCCCACCCCTTGGGTCACCAGCTGTCCCCCCGTGCCACACCCCCTCCCCAGCCCCCCACCCCCAAGTCTCTGTGGGAAGACTTGGCCCCGGGGAAGGACATTCAGGGAGCAGGTTCGAGCTTTGCTCTCTGACTGCACTGCTCTCAGCTCTCCAGAGGGGCTTAGATTTGGGGAAAGAAACTGTCCATTGAGGCTTTTTGGCCAGGAGTCACCTCCAGGGTGATGGTGTAACATGCAGCAACACTAACAGATGTGGGATATGTCACCTGTTTGTTTATAAACAAGTGACTAATGAAGTATGTCAAATTCAATAAAGCCGGTGTTGCTCAGGGTCTTTCCTGGAAGGTTCTTTTGGATTCATTCACCTGAGGGATTGGTGGAACGCTGAAGCTCACCAAGCTCATCCCAGGTGTGCTCACATGGCCACCTTGACTAAGAATGCCACTGAGAAAGGGACACCACTTCCACCTGGGGCAGGAGTTTACCTTCAAGGTGCTCGGCTGGCAGCAAGCAGCCAGTCAGTTCAGGAAGACCTTGGAGAGGGGGCAGAGCAGGGCCTGAGTCTGAGGCTGACACTCACGCATCACTCACGGGGGCAGGTGGGCACAGGTGATGGGCCAGGCAGGTGCAGATGATGTGGACGTGGCCCGAGGTGGCAGATGTGCAGGACTCTCAGAGGGCTGTCTGGGCCTCAAGATGTGCGGTTGTGCACTACTATGGGAACGGAGGCCTTGCCTCACGCCCGTCTTGTCCCAGCAGATCATGGGGGCAGCCGTGCAGCAGCCTCTGGGCCTCTGCTGAAGAGGAGCCACTCCGTCCCGCTGCCTTCTGTCCACGAAGAGATCTCAGACAAGGTTGGCAAGGCCCAGGCAGGTGACCAGGCCCCTTCGGCTCCACCAGGTAAAGGACCTGAACTTGGAGCGTTTATAAGGTGGGCAAGCCTCAGGGCCCAGAGGACCCTGCGCCCACACTCTGGCTCTTGATCTGAGGCTGTGGTGGACATCTTGCTGCCAGAACATCCTGTGAGCTCCTGTCCGCAGTGACCCTGTTTCACCACTGCCCCCTGTGTCCGTGTCCACGAAGCTTCTCCTGGCTGGGCTCTGCATGCCCCCTCCTGCCCCTGCAGGAGTGTCTACCCCAGCACCATCCTTGCTCCTTGTGCTGGGCCGTGCCCACCACATGCCAGCATGCTGTGTCCTCCACCGAAGTGGTTTTCTCTGGGCCCTGTCCCCCTCGGCCATCACCCAGGTGTGCTTTCATTGTAGCAGAACTCTTCCGGGGGTGTCTGCGCGCCCCTCCTGCTTCCTCTCCACTCTGTTTTCTTGTGGGATCTCAGTTGCAGAGAGAGTTTTCCTAGCCCTTTGGTCATCAGTTGGCTCTCTTCCTGTCTCCCCGAGCACCTTCCCCTACGGGGACCTTGCCATGACCTTTGTTTGCTTGTGAGTGCCGCAGCCTGGACAGTTTCCGTGGGTGCATCCTGGGGTGGGCCATGGGCCACGGGGCAGTGGGCCAGGGGGCAGTGGGCCAGGGGCAGCTGCAGGTGATGTCCCTACATCAGGCCTACAGCCAGCAGGCCATTGACACCCCGCCACAGACCAGCTCGCTCCTTATCACCTTTCTAATTTTGCTCTTACGTTCATTCGAAAGTCTGTTTTGTTTGTGGGTTGCTTGCAAGTTTCATCATTTCCATGAGAGCTATTTGGTTCCCTCTTTAAGAATTGTCTGTTTATATTCTTTGCCCATTTTCTGCAGTTTCCTGAGGTTGTCTTGTTGATTTGCATTAATTCTTTATATGCTCCAGGTAGAGAACCCTCATCAGTATTAGTTGCTCAGGTATCTTCTCCTGGTCTCCATCTGTCGGAAACATGGCCAGGGGGACCTTCAGGGAACAGGAGCCTTGATGTCCCTTTATGGAAACCTTGCGATTTGTATTTTGGGTCTCTTTTCTTATTCCTGGGTCGTAAGTATGTTCTTCTAGATTCTTTCTGTTAGTTTTTCAGTCTCGCCACCCGCATTGAGGTCTGTCATTCCTTGTCGTTCTCTCTTGCATATGTCTGAGGTGAGAAAGTCAGCTTTTTCTTACTCTATAGAGTGATAATTTGCCCAACACCATTAACAAAACACTTTCATTTCCCTATTGCTTTTTTGGTGCGATTTTCAATAGGTATCAAGTTTCTGAATCTACATAGACTTTTTTTTTTTAATAACAGCTTTTTCGAGATATAATTCACATACCATAAAGTTCACCCTTTTAAAGTGTAAAATTTACGGGGCTGGGCTGGCGGCATAGCAGTTAAGTTTGCATGCTCCGCTTTGGTTGCCCGGGGTTCGCCAGTATGGACCCTGGGCGCGAACCTATGCACTGCTCATCAAGCAGTGCTTAGGCGGCATCCCACATAGAGTAACTAGAAGGATGTACAACTATGACATACGACTGTCTAATGGGGCTTTGGGGAGAAACAGGGAAAAAAGGAGAAAGATTGGCAACAGATGTTAGCTCAGGGCCAATCTTCCTCAAAAAAAAAAAACCTCATTAAAAAAAATAAAAGTGTATAATTTAGTGGCTTTTAGTATAGTCACAAAATTGTGCGTCCATCACCACTGTCTAATTCCAGAACATTTTCATCACCCAGTAAAGAAACCCTGTACCCCTTAGCCATCATTCCCTTGCCCAGCCCCCCAGCCCTGGCAACCACCCATCTGCTTTCCGTCTCTATGGATTTGTCTGCTCTGGATATTAGGTTACTTGGATCTACTTTTTAGGTATCTTTTGTGTTCTACTGGTATATTTGCCTGTTTCTTCACTAATACCAAGTCATTTTTTATTTTTATTAACTGTTTATGGATGTAAATATGCATTTGGAATGTGTAAATTGTAAGTGGGCAGTGTGATGAATTTTCACAAACTGAGCTCGTCTGTGAGACCAGCATCCAGATAAAGAAACCAGCTGCTCCAAACCCCCGTTCATGCCCCTTGGGTTACTGCCAGCAGTGATGTTTAGGGCAGCAACAAGCTGTTGCACCAGTGGTACCTTCTCTCCTGATTTCTGGCAGCTCAGGCTGCTTTTGAGTCTGGCTTCTTCTGCTCAGCCTTGTGTTTGTGACATCCCTCCGTGTTGTTGTGTAGCATATGCACCCGTTCTCACTGTTGTGTAGTGTTTTATTGTGTGAATACATTGCATTTATGTGTCTGTTGAACACATGTGCATGTTCCCATTGGAACTGCTGGGTCGTAGAGTGCATGTATGTTTAGCTTGGGAAGCACTGCCGGTGGTTTTCTGTGCACTTGTCCTGACTTGTACTCCCACCAGCCTCGTAAGGCTGTCTGGTTGCTCCAGTCTGCACTGGCCAGTACGGAACCGCCTGCCACATCTAGCTGTTCACACTTAAATTCTAACAGTTCGATCCCCAGTCCTACTCACGTGCTCACTGGCCTCATGTGTCAGACAGCGCATCTTACAGGCCACGCCATCTTGCAGGAGGTTGTCCTGCTCGGCCTGTGCTGTTTTCCATCTTTTTCATTTTGGGCCCTCGGTGCCCTGCAGGGGGGCCTTGTTGTGGCTATTACTCCATCTTCCTGACGACTCATGAGCCTGAGGCACCTTCCGTGTCCAGTGGGATAGGAGTGGACTATCCTTTGCCCATTTTCCTTTCAGGTTTTCTTTCATTTTCTTGTTGATTAATAGGAGTTGTTTAGATACTCTCTGTATGAGTCCTTTGTTGGATGTATGTATTAAAAATATTTTCTGCTCATTTTTCACTCTCTTAATGGTGTCTTTTGATGAATAGAAGTTTTTAAATTTAATAGAGTCCAATTTATCAAATTTTTTCTTTTGTGGTTAATACATTTTGTGTCTTCTTTAGGAAACGTGCCTGTAAGCTTCAACATTTACCTTTCGTATTCATCCATCTAGAACTGATTCTTTTGTCTAAAGCGATTAGGGTTTCAGGGTAGGTGTTTTCCCATATGGCTATCCAGTTGACCTGCCATATTTAAAAAAATATGTTTAGTGAATTTTTTCAAATAAAAGAAGCTTAAATGATAGATAACTGAAAATAATAGCAATCCACAGATAATAAAATTTGAGTATGAATTATCCAATTCCATGAACATATCCAGTTAACATTCATACAGATTGCAGAGTTATCTTTCCTCTGGTCTGTGTAGATAAGACACTCATATATATAGGATGTGTTTCTGGCAAAAATCAGAGATACTCAACATTTTAAATTTTATAAACTATGATTATAACACCAGCATTCTGTAGAAATGTACAACCTTTAATGTATGCATGTATTTATCACAGGGAGTATGGTTGGATTTTATTTTTAAAACAGATATTGCTATCATTATACTTTGGCTTATTAATAATAAAAACAAAACAATAATATAAAATACACAGTGTAATATGTGTTATATAATAATATAATAATCCTGTAATACTATGAATATATGGTATGTTAGGATGCACAAAAATAGTTATTATTAACCGCTATGTTGTTTTAAACTTTTCAGTCTTATTAACATGATAAGAAAATAGCTGCACAGATTTAAGTATTTTCCTATGAAATACAACCTTTACAAAATTAGTGGAGATTGGTCTTTGTAGTTCCTGGCAATGAGTCCCACTTTTATTTTTCTCGTCTGAGTACAGACTGTGTTCTTTTGCCACATTAAGGTAGTAAGGCTTAGTCGCTCTCAAACCACAGGTGGACCCCACTGTTCCCAGGCAAAGGGCTTTAGTGCGTGATCCACACAGGCCATGGTCCAGCTGGGCCAGCGCCCAAGCTGTCATCAGCCCCCTCCCACGCTCCTCTGCTTTCGTCTAAAACTGGACATTTGCAATAACACTGAGAATTTGCAATTTCTGTGTAGTTCTGACACCAGCTTTCTGTGGTTGTCTGAAGTTGGTTTAAATCAACGATTGCAGGCTCTTCAGTTTTACTTTATAGCTGCGTGCTTTACTGAAGAGTGGTGTGTGCAGCAGCTGCCCAACAGGCCTGCGTGCTCAGACACAGCGTGTAGCAGCCGCCGCCTTCTCGCACACCGTACTGGAGAAAGCACTGTCCTGACCTCTTCAGACTTGAGGCTTTATTTTTTATTTTTTTGTTTTTTTCCCTCCCCAAAACCCCAGTACATAGTTGTATATTCTAGCTGTAAGTCCTTCTAGTTCTTCTATGTGAGCCGCCAGCATAGCATGGCTACTGACAGGCGAGTGCTGTGGATCTGCGCCTGGGAACCAAACCCGGGTTGCTGAAGTGGAACACGACAAGCTTTAACCCAGGCCATCAAGGCTGGCTCAGACTTGGGGTTTTTAAATGCTGGCAGTACTTTACTGAGGCGTGAGTAACAGAGTGCAGTGCACAGCCCCTGAGTTCTGACCACAGTGCACACCCGTGTCATGGTGCTGGGACCCAGGTCAGCAGTCACTCCTCCCCACGCCTAGCCTGCGTCTCTGGTTTGGACTGTTCTGGAACTTCCGTGGTGGAGCATGCAGGATGTGCTCTCTGTCTGGAGCCCTTCGCTCAGCGTCATGCTGTGGAGACTGAGCTGTGTTGCATGCCTCTGTGGTTTGTTGTGTTGGAAGCTCATTTCTCTCTCCTGTTAGTGCCAAGTGCTGTGTACAAGACCTCATGCACATTTTAGAACAACCTGAGGAGGGGGTGTTATGAATTCTGCATTTTGGATGAGGAAACCGTGGCTCCAATAAGTCGCTTGCACACACAGCTTGTACATGGCGGGCCTGGGATGCAAACCTAGATGTTTGATCCAGAGCTCACGTCCTCGGCAGAGTTCCTAGTACCTGCTCTAGTGACTTGCTCATGCTGGTACTTCCTATGCCTAAGTTGGTTGTGGGTCGTGGAAAAGCTGGACAGCACAGAGGCTTTGGGCTGCCGTGATTTGAGCCTCATCTACCAGGGTCTGTGCCGCTTTAGGTTTCAGGGAGCACTCAGCCAGCCCTCGCGGAGCGCGTACAGACCAGTGCGTACAGACTGGTGCATCCGGTCGAGCCAGCACAGTGTCCTGAGTCTCCCCTCCATTTGTAGGGAGCACAGCAGGTGCCCCCTCAGACCTGAGGATGGCATGTGACCGTGCCAGGGTCCTCCTACAGGCAGAGGAACGCCCCGGGAGCGCCATGGCCAGCAAGGTAGGTGGCTCCTCTTCTTACTCCTCATCTGTGGCTCTGCCCTTCTCCTGAGGCTAGTGTTTCCTGTGGGGTCTGGGGCTGGCTGGGCCCCCCACATACTTTCCCTGCCATATCCCTTCTGATCACAATACCTGTGTTCTTCTCAAGTCCAAGAAAAACGTGGTTGTTGCAGAGACCCCCTCTGCGGTCTTCCACTATGAGGAGAGCACTTCGGACGAGACTGTCCCCAACAGGAAGACAGACGCCATCTTCAGAGCCGCCAAGAAGGACCTGCTCACCCTGATGAAGCTGGACGTAAGTGGCCCCTCCTCCTGCCTTCTCTCTGGCCAGCGGTGAGCGGGGAGAGGTGCACGGTCTCTTGAGAGGTGGGTGGGCATCTGGCTCTCCTGCAGACTCTTTTCCTTCACAGGAACCACTTCTCTCAGGCTGCCTGTTCCAGGGTAGGGGACCTGAGGCAGGGTCCACTTTGGGCGGGGCTTGGGAGAGCGTGGCTTCGCAGACCCTTTCCCCTAGAGCTCTCCTGGCATGTTTGTGCACAGCGGCTCTGGTGGTCCCTGGCCTCCTCCAGGTGCCTGCAGGTGGGAGGGCAGTGGTCATGAGTCACATGTGTTCTAAAGACTTGGGGCGCCACCCAGGATGCTGGTTCAGGGCTAAAAGTGGTGGCACTCCTGACTGTCTTCATCACTTGCACGTTTTTCATTTATCCTCTTCCTCTCACATTTTAAAACGTTGTGGCTGCCTTATATACAGGGGAGAGAGAATACCCATGAAACCCCGTGTCAGTGACTAGACGGTTAGCAGCTATTGACACCAGCTGGTGCCCTGTGCGGCCACGACCCCCTTCCTCCCCAGACAGACCACGGCCCTGAGGCTGTATGTGGACTTCGTCTGCGTGGCTCCTCCTGTGTGTCCTTTGAGTCCACTGTCACTTGATCGGCATCGTGTCTGTGGGTCGCCCACGTCGCTGCCTGTGATGGAGGCTCCGTTGCTCTTGGGCCAGTGTGTGAAAGCACTGTGCGTGTCCATCTCTTGTCCTTGCTGTGGGGCATGTGTGCCTGGTCACGTGTGTGTCTACATCCCAGGGGGGTGTGCATCATCACCTGTGCAAATTGGCCGATGAGGGCTCCTGTGGCCCTGTGTCCTTGCCAGCAAGCGGGATTTGGACTTTTCCATTTCAGATAGGTGGAGGTAGGGGTGTAGAGTGAGGCTTTGTCACTCTACACCCCCACTGTTTGTCACTGTTTGTTTCTTGGGTTACTGTGGGGTAGTATTTGCTTCGTTTGCCTCTTGGGAGGCAGTGCTTTGAGCCTTCTGCCCATTTCTCTGTCTTTTCCTTTTTGACTTTTAGGGTTTCTTTATGTTTCCTGAGTAACAGTCGTTGGTTGGTTATAGGTCTTGCACATAATTGTCTACTCCAGGATTTGCCGTTTTTGCCTTCTGAGTGGTATCTTCGGTGGGCAGAAGTTCCTAATTATAATGCAGTAAACTTATCAGTCTTTTCCTCATGGTTAGTGCTCTTGGTGCCTTGTTTAAGCAACATTTCCTTACTTTGACTTCATAAAGATTTTTTCTATGTTGTTGTCTAACAGTTGCTTCGCCTTTCTTAAGTTTTAATGCAGATGGATTTAATTTTTGTGCACGACTCGAGGAAGGACTCAGATCCTGCTCACGGATACCTGGTTGGTCCAGCATCATTATTGGAAAGTCTGACCTTTTCCACTGGTCTGCTATGCCTCTGTCATAAACCCAGTCTGTCTGGGTCCTCCATTCTGTTTCTCCACTGTTTTTGATACCTGCACATGGCACTGCAGCTCTGCACCTGGGGCTGCCCTCCCAGGGCCACCTGAGAAAAGGGAACAAGGCTTTCTCCCCACACCCTCCCAGCTCACAGGAGCCTCCTTTCCTGGCCCTCTGGTCAGAAAGAGAGGGTTTTTCATGAAGTTTTTGTCATCTACGCCCACGGCACAGCAAGCATCCTGACTGGGTCAGCTTTCAGGCCAAAGTTGGGGGGTAAAGGAGGAAAGAAAGGAACTTCCCACTGCACCTGTCGTTCCGATGCTGTGACCTCCCTCCCCGCCCCCTGCCGCTGTGGCTCTCAGAGTTCTCAGGCAGTGGCTTTGCCTTCTGCCCAGAGTCTTCAGTTTGATCAGAGGGAGACAGAGGCTGCAGGGGGCTGACTTCCTCCAGACACCTTCCTTCTCAAAGGACGTTTCACCAGGGTAAGTTTAGGTTACACGTTGGCGACAGCTCACTGACTCCGGCCCCCAGTGTCGCTGCTGGAGGTCGAGTGCTCCTTTGAAGATAACTTCTTCCTTTTGCTGCTTTTAAGATATATTTTTGTCTTTGGTTTTCTGCAATTTCATTATGACAAAACTGAGTATGGATTTCTTTTTATTTATCTTGCATGAAACTCCTTGGGCTTCTTCAATCTGTGTCTCTGAAGTCCTGTTGAAAAATTATCAGCACTATCTCTTCAAATATTGTCTCTGCCCATTTTCTGTCTTCTTCTTCAGAAACTCAAATGAATGTATGTTCTTATTTATCCTTTGTAAGTTGTACCCTTTCTTCTGTATTTTCCATTAAAAGAGTCTGTACTAATCAACAACTACAGCAAAGTCGCAGGGTACAAAATCAACCTACAAAAATCAGTTGCATTTCTCTATGCTAATAACGAACTAACAGAAAGAGAGCTCAAAAAGATAATACCATTTACAATTGCAACAAAAAGAATAAAATATCTAGGAATAAATCTTACCAAGGTGAAAGACCTATACAATGAAAACAATAAGACATTATTGAAAGAAACTGACGGTGACATAAAGAAATGGAAAGATATCCCATGCACATGGATTGGAAAAATAAACATAGTTAAAATGTCTGTATTACCTAAGGCAATCTACAGATTCAACGCAATCCCAATCAGAATCCCAATGACATTCTTCACGGAAATAGAACAAAGAATACTAAAATTCATATGGGGCAACAAAAGACCCTGAATAGCTAAAGCAATCCTGAGAAAAAAGAACAAAGCTGGAAGCATCACAATCCCTGACTTCAAAACATACTACAAAGCAATAGTAATCAAAACAGCATGGTACTGGTACAAAAACAGACACACAGATCAATGGAACAGAAATGAAAGTCCAGAATTAAAACCACACATCTGGGGCCAGCCCCATGGCATAGCGGTTGAGTGAGTGCACTCCGCTGCTGGCGGCCCAGGTTCGGATTCTGGGCGCACACTGATGCACCACTTGTCAGGCCATGCTGTGGCGGTGTCCCACATAAAGTGGAGGAAGATGGGCACGGATGTTAGCTCAGGGCCAATCTTCCTCAGCAAAAAGAGGAATGGCATGGATGTTAGCTCAGGGCTGATCTTCCTCACAAAAAAAATAAATAAATAAAACCACACGTCTACGGACAGCTAATCTTTGACAAAGGAGTTAAGAGCATACAATGGAGAAAGAAAAGTCTCTTCAATAAATGGTGCTGGTGGGGGGGCCCAGCGCCATGGCTTAGCGGTTAAGTGCGCACGCTCCGCTACTGGCGGCCCGGGTTTGGATCCCGGGCGTGCACCGACGCACTGCTTCTCCGGCCATGCTGAGGCCACGTCCCACATACAGCAACTAGAAGGATGTGCAGCTGTGACATACAACTATCTACTGGGGCTTT